TGGAGTATGGCCGCCATGTTGGGCAACTCCACCGTCGTCGTCGTCGTCGTGCGTACGCGCCCACGAGCAATACTGCTAGCCATGATAACCATGAGAAAATCAACTCATGGGTTTCCTCTTCTTTCCTATATGGGTATGGGGCTCCGCTTAGCGGCCCTTCGGGCCGCCGGAGCTTCGCTACAATATAAAAACGTATGAGAGACAGAAAGAGCGGGAGAAATAAATTCTAATGGCTGAAAACCGCGCTAGAAAAGCAAAATTTTGCAGAGACGGGCGCTTCCTCTGTAAAGATTGTTTTATTATTATTATTATTATTATTATTATTATTATTATTAATTCGAGGACCGAAAGTGAAACGGACGACTTTTTAGGCACGTGATCAATGACGTAGAAAGGAGAACTCGATTAGCTCCATTGCGTGTTTCACAAAATTTATAGTTAGCATGGAATCGGGGGATTCGAGTAGTTCTTCTGTTTCTTCTCAAGAACATTCTACAGAAGACACAACCTGGGAAGACTGTCAAGGAACGCAGCCGTATCTCTTTGAGCCTTACGACTTTGAGGCTAGCTCAGACACGGACTCCACAAATGAGTCCGATCAAGAAGAATTCGAACGACTGCAAAACACAGACTGGTAAGAGATTAATCTACTTCTTGTGGCGAGTTCTCTTTACAACACGTAATTTTGTAACTTGATTTTTTAAGCAAATAAATGAATTTAAGTTGGCAACGAAGTTTTCTTGTCGTGGTCTTTGTGATGGAATTGTTTTACGTGTGTTTTCATGCGCAGATATCCACAATATCGATGTGTGAAATAATTCTCGGCTGGAATGTGTTTGTGCGTTCATATGCATAGGTCATCATGATAAGCTCTGGGTCATAAGCTAAAATCTCGATTGGAAATTAAATTGTAGGTGTAAGTGTGGAAGTTGCCAGAGACTAAATCAAGTTGTAGACTGCATTTGTTGTGCCGAAATTGACTGCGTCGTGGTCAAAAACAATGAAGCTGTTGAGGCAGAAGGATTGGCCGAACCTCCCATTTGCATCACACAGCATCCAGGGTTCGATTCCAAGCCGTTTGTTTAAATCGCTGGGTTCTACAGACGGCATGGTACCAGTATAAGCAACAATACCAAGATTCTTACGAGGGGCCATCTCACAAACGAAATAGACACATAGCCTACAGGCAGTTAGCGAGGTGGTGCTGGGGTCTTTTGGGAAAGGAAGTGCGAGTGGTTCTGCCATCATGTGCTGTGGTGCTGTGTGTTGCATGCGAGCGCACTTCCCGCCTCCAGGGCTCGAAGAGGACTTCGTATTTGAAGGATTTCACTTTCCAGACGAGTAATTGTTTTAATACTGTGTAGTATTTCAATTGAGCTTCTAGTTGACACTACTAGTCTGTTGGGGTTTTCCTTGAGATTATAACTGACGAAATAATTGCATCTAGGGTGATTGGGTAAGATACTTCGAAGAACATATTTATATTGTGAAGATGGTAAACATTCTAAGATCCTCATTTTAAGTTTTATTTTCCATTTCACTTTGTGTCACTGAGTCAGTCTTCTAAGGCTGATCGAAGATCCTTGTATTTATGAGATCGGTGGAGTATTACTAACAACAACAGGGACTGCAGAGGGGGAGGGGCTGGTAGGGCTATGGCCCTACCACATTTATTGCTGGGATTTATTTCCTAGGGCTTCAGTTGACGTCGATAAAATTTAGATTTTACTACTTGAAAGTAATATTGGCCAGTAGTATTGGCCAGATTTTTTAGCCCTACCACTTAAAAATGGTCTCTGCTGTTCCTGAACAACAACAACAACAACAATAATCTTTATTTTCTTTCGTGTTAGTATATAATTCTAATGAAATTAATTTTGACTTCAGTCTGACTATGGCTAGATTTCACTATTTGTATGGCTGTTGGTTTAACAATATATTGCAATGTGAACGGTGAATTGATCAAAGTCATCATCATTCACCATCTTTATTCACTTCTCACTATTCATGATACTTTTACAGCGCTGATCCTTGCAGTTTGCAGGACACCTGTCACATATGAACTCACTTAAATGACCTTGCTGTCCATGAGTTCTCGTAGCTCAGTGGATAGAGCCTCCACACAGTTTTCGGGAGGTCATGGGCTTGATTCCTCGGGGGTGGGGGGGACTTAGAATTTTTCTTTGTCCCATGCTCGTGTTGTGTTGATCAATTCACCTTTCACATTTCAAAACCTGAGCTTAAAATTCACCATCTTTATTCACTTATCAATATATTGCAACATAGCTTTTAAGGATGATGAGGATCCTGGTGAGGAAAGTCACTTCCTGAATCTTGATTTTAATGCAATGACTGCGGCCTTTTTTTCAGGGCGGCCATAGTTCGATGATAGTGATCTGGGGGCATCAGCTCTCACTAAAACAGAACTTTCAGTGCCTTGGAGAATTCGTACAACACTCTCTTTCAGATTGACAACATACCTTACATGAGAAATGAAAGTATAAGTGGGGTCTAACCATCCACATGTAATGTAAATATGTAAATAAAAAAATTGTAAATTTCAGTTTGCTAATTTTTTTCATTTTTTACTCACCATATGTGCATTTCACTAAAATCTTCTTTACTGCATGCTCTCCTTTCTTGTACTTTGGAAAAGCAATGTTGAATCGTTCTCTGCCATCTTGCAATGTCGCCTGCTCCCTGTCACTGTTTTCATTGAAATGCAGGATTGCAATCTGCAACCTAAAAAGATAGATATTTTTGGTTTTGTTTTGCCTTCCATTCAATATGACATAAATTCAGAGAGGTTTTTTGGCAACCTGAAAATGCCACATTTGTAACCAAGGTTAGTGCGTATTATGATGTCATGATATGTTCAAGTCTTCATACCTGCTTGTCATTCCATGGTTCGAAAAGGCCACCATTTTTGCAGCAAAGTGGTTGTAGACAGTTTTTGTAGACAAAAATTCACCATCTTTATTAACTTATCACTACCCACGATGACTTCGATAGGCGTTGATCCTAGCAGTATGCAGGACGCCTGTCATATATGAACTCAGTTAAATGACCGTGCTCTCCATGAGTTCTCTAGCTCAGTGGATAGAGCGCCCGCCCGGTGTTCGGGAGGTCGTGGGTTCGATTCCTGTCGGGGACACAGAATTTTTCTTTGTCCCACGCTCGTGTCATGTTGATTAATTCACCTTCACAAATCTTCTTTCCAGTTCCTAAATAAAATTACAGTCACTAGTTGCTAAAAATTGTGCCGGTTGATTTTAATCCAAATTATATTTTTTCCAAATATTCACCTTTTCTAACATGCCAACCATCTAACCTGTGCTTAACTCCGGGCCATCTCTCCCTCATGTATTTTCTTATTTGCACATGTCCGTCTGTTATTAAGGTGTTAATGGACAATCCTTCTCCAGTTAAGAATGTGAGTGATCTTGCAAGCTAGCCCCTCTTTTTCCATAGCACCTGAGTTTTTTTTTCTCTTCGTCGCTCTAAAGATAAGTATCAATTAAAATGCAGTATTACTTAGCACAAAAATACTTCTATGAGTCCATTTTTTAATTTAATCCAGTACAAACCGGTACCAATTGAGAATCTAGGATTTTATTTTGCTCGGCATCGATAAGGGAGTAGGTTCCATACTTAGCTGAATGACAAGGGCTGTCACAGCGGCCATCACTTCCCACTATTAATTCCCTCCCTTCAGCTTTGATGTTGTTCAGCAGCCTAGACTGTTGCTGTTGGTATGTCCTCTGCACAGCAGTATGTAGATACTTCTTTTGGTGATTCATAAACGTTGAGTAACATATCGTTGGCGCATTCATATGTTTCAATATCTTCAGCACTTTTGTTGGGCTTCCACCACCAAAGAGGATAGAAGAGGACAGCGTGATGTTCCCAACAGGAATGTCTCCAACTGAGGGCTGCGAATCCCAGCTTGTAATGAACTTGCAGGAATAACATTTCTGCGTCACTGTTATTTTCGTACCAATTCTTGATTGAACCATCCTTTCACATTCCGACCGGCAAACTGGGCAAAACCGAAAGAGGTCAAGAAGTGAAGACTCTGCAACTAGGAACAGGTTTTGTTGGTGGGAAGGTGCATTTTGGGGAGACTCCCCGGGAATTAATAGAGCGAATTATTAGTGGGCTTGTTCTCTTAGAATATTCATAGTTTGTTGCTACAGTAGATCACAGTACAATGACTGCATAATGTATAGGGGTTGTGATAGATGGTTCGCTTAACTTACTCGTATAAACAGTCATTAAAATCGTCAAAACCAGTATCATCATCATTGTCATCTGCATCAATGTCTTTGGGGTCAGGGACGTATGAAGGGTCATCATCTTGCTCCATTTCTTCTTCATTGTCTGACAGCTCCTCATCACTCCGGACTGGGGTCGAAGTCGTCAAAAAATTCTTTGTGAAGGGTGCATTGAGTTCCTTGACTTTTTTGGGCGATGGACATTTGACAACCTGCAAAAACATTTCAGCACAGAGTTGTTTTTCGTCTGACTGGATGGCCCGTGTTTGTTATATACAAGGAAAATTATCATGGTAGTTTCGTATTACTATCACGCATCAGTAGAGAAACCAAACTTGCCTTTTGCGGTGCTGCTACTCCGAAATTGTACAGAAACGTTTTTCCCTGTATTCCGGGTTTGGGTAGCAACCTCTACAACTGCAGGCAATGTTTCCTCTGCATTTATTGTTAACTCCTCATTATTTTCACC